GCAGGGAACGTAGTATCCGCCATCCGTGGCAGGACCAATGCCCCATGCGCCGTAGAGGGCATTGAGGGTGCTAACCGGTCCAAGATTGATGCTGGCAGCGGAATCAAAGACTGCGATGGGGTTCGAGCCAGAGATGACGCTCGAGGTGCCGATGGGGATGGGCTCAGTGATAGCGTGTTGGAGTTGGACGCTGAGATCTGTAAGGGCGACTCGCCAATGACGCACGACGCCGTCTGCATCGGCGATGGCGGTGGTATAGTTGATGTTGGGGTTAAAGCTTCCAGCGTAAGAAGGATCGTGGTTTCCGATGGTCAAGATGCTGTCACCTTTTCCTCCGTCCTCCTCAAGACGCTGGAGGCCGAGGGCGACGAATCTGCGGCCAGGGCGAGCGTTGTACCACAAGCCGGCAAGGACAGCACCGGTCTCTGGTGGACGGAGGTCAACGTTGCGGTATGCTGTGTTGCTTGTCGCATTGAGATCGGCCTGGATGAGACTGTTGGCGGGAGGACCGAAGCCAATGATGCCGGTAAAGTTGCCTGAATCCATATCCTCGTTGGCAACCTGATTGCACGAACCAAAGGCTTGCGAGTTGATGATGAGGCGTGAAGTGATGGAGTCGCCCAAGAGCATGGATGTGGTCTTGACTCTGCCAGAAGCTGAACCGAGCAGATAGTGGATGCTGAAAGGCGTGTCCTGGTCGACGACCGAGTCTGCACGATCGTTGAACTTGGTTACAGTGCGACCCTGGTGACCTCTGCATGAGTCTGTGTCGCAGTCCTGATTGGCAAGCCAGAGATCACCGCTACCTGTGTCGAGCTGTGCATTCATTTGCTGATTGGCGGCAGTGATGGGAACGGTGTAGGTGAGCTGACCATTGGCAAAGCCACGAGAAAGAACGATGCGTGTGCTGTCGAGCGAGCCGGAAGCAGGAGAGCTCATGCCACCGACGGCCGCACGGCCGCCAGATGATGAAGATGAGCCGGACGATGTGGATGTAGACGAGGGGTAGTATGCGGAAGATGATGATGATATTGATGATGATATTGATGATGATGATGATGATGATGGTGACGACAATTGATATGGTTGTTGTGACGCTGATTGCGATGCTGAGGCTGTGCTAGATGCTGGAGATGATGCATTGCCGGAGCGAGAGGAAGTGGATGCTGATGATGGTGAAGATGATGGAGAGGAAGAGGAAGACTGAGCTTGACGTGGATTTCGTCTGCGAGCGTCATCAGGCTCGGCTAGAGATCGAGGCAGTTGAGGCGAAGACGGTGGGTTGAGTGCTGAGGCGTCTGTGAGCCGCATCGTAGAATGCTATAGGCGTAAAATGCTGTAGGCGTAGAAAACTGTAGGGCGGCAAGTGATGGTGAGGAGGAGAATAGGCGCGGTGTGTGTTGCGCTGAGAGGGACACAAGATTCTATGCCGTGCGAATCAATATCTTTTCCGAGGAGCGTTCAAACCGAGATGCTTAGCGGCTGCCGTCTATCTTGCCCTGAAGAGCTGGGCAGCCTCAACACATAGACGAGCGGTAGCAGCTGAGACTGGGTGCTGCGTGAAAGTGCCGAGGTGGTGAGTGTGATTGTTGTGATGCTAGAGGAGGCGATGATGCGGAAGAATATGATCTGTTTGGCGGTGTAGGATGAAGGTTAGCAAGCAGGAGAAGCGGCAGGAGAAAGGGTTCAGACAACGTGCAAGTCCGCCGCTTGAACAAGGGGCACACAAGGAGAGAGAAGTCGCACAAAAATCACACACAAATCACACCCAAATCACACACACAGAGAGTAGAAATGGGAAAGCGCTTCTTCAACTCTCTGAGTTTACGACGATTTCGAGTGCCTTTCTCCATGCTGAGCCACCCTGGCAAACGACTTGACCGCACAACGGAGCCCATGCATTGATACCAGGGGATCGGATGGCTTCTCTCGATTGGTCGTGATAGGGAAGCACAAGGTGATCGTACAGAGTCGCTCACTCCATCCTCGGTGCCGTATTTCAAGACAGAGAGGCTTGCTTTCTCGATGGCTTGCTTTCTTGATGGTCTGCCCCGATTTCCCCAAGCCACATCCTCCGACCGGGGCAACGGCCTTAGGGCCTTAGAGAGAGGGTCGGTTTCAAGCAGCACAAAAGGTGAGACAGAGCCTACACAGCCCTGAATCGGAAAAACAATAATAATAACAAATGTCACCGAGAAAAGGCCTGTTGAAGAAGAGCCAAAAATTCGTAAGTTATTGGTATGGAATCGACAACCTATGAGAAACGCGCACGGGCTGTCGCTGTATGCAGCTCTAGGTCATTCGACTTTCAGCTGGAGCAAGTGGAGAGTCTCGAAGCTGTGCTGGTCCGTAAAAGGGCTCTGTTGTTGCGCGCGTGGGATTGATTGCTTTGCTTTGCTTTTAAAACCCTACAACTGAAAAAGGGGCCAACTTGGAAATGAAATCGGATTTTCCTGTTGGTTGAAAGTGCAGACAAATCACACGAGTTTGAAATTGAATCACGCGGTTGAACGCGATTTGAACGCGATTTGAACGCGATTTGAACGCGATTCAACTGCACTTGAACCGCCTCTCATCGATACCGACTTGAAAATGCTCGCCCTGTGATATTTGAATTGCCGGTTGTGGATTGCAGTTCAATCTCTCTCTCTTTTTCTTTTTCTTTTCACAGACACAAAAGGAGAGCGCGGACTCGGACCCTCAAACGCCCATCTTTCTCCATCTTTCTATTGTACTTGTACGCTGCACCGTTGCTGTCTGTGTTCGAGTGGCCGCGCGAGCCCGTCAGCGTTCTTTTCTCACACCAAGCCAGCGCTGCGCTCTCTCTCTCTCTCTCTCTCTCAATCACACCTGCCTCCAACACACCATCTCACCATCTCATCATCTCACCAACCGCATCAACCGCTTTTCCTTTATCGCATCGCATCTCTCGCATCGCATCTCTCCTCGCTATCAGCATACTTTGATCGACCTCTTGGCCCCGTCTGCGCATCTACGCAATCTGCTCCATCCGATTGCTGCTACCGATTACAACGTCAGCACCTTCACCTCTGCTCCTTGACCTCTGCTCCTTGACCTCTGCTCCTTGACCGTCTCCTCCTCGTCGCTCGATCTTGTTGATACATCTCTTTCATTGACAAGCAGCTGCTCCAGCTGCAATACCTTCATCCTGAACCACTTCCAATCCGCTTTCCTACAACTTCTCGGACTTTACTTTCGATCGCATACCTCATATACACACACAGCATCATGTCTGAACTTCGTCGAAAGCTTGTCATCGTCGGTGACGGTGCCTGTGGTAAGACCTGTCTTCTTATCGTCTTCTCAAAAGTAAGTGCATCCATTCCTTGCACCGCCCACCCCAACATGCCGCCATGTCCCGCAGAGATCAGCACAACCAATCTTGCACAACCCTCAGCTCAACTCGACCTCGAAAACGCCAAACTTGGAACGCGCCGGTGCAAGATGCCCATTGGCGCTAGAGCTTGAGCCTGAGCATGATTCTCTTTGGGTTATACTATGCAACCTGGCTAGCTATCTGCGGTCCGCTGCTTTGCCTCCTATCCCTCCTTTCCACTGACAGTCTTGCCTTTCGCTTGCCCTTTCATCCTCAAACTACACCCTACATCCTCGTCCGGCTGATTCTTGGCCTCGCTGACATCATCCCCTCCCTTCCCCTCCCGCACCGCATTGCTTCGCTCCTCTCGTAACAGGGCACCTTCCCTGAGGTCTACGTCCCCACCGTTTTCGAGAACTACGTTGCCGATGTCGAGGTCGACGGCCGTCGTGTAGAGCTAGCGCTCTGGGATACCGCCGGTCAGGAAGATTACGACCGTCTCCGTCCCCTCTCATACCCTGATTCGCACGTCATCCTCATCTGCTTCGCCGTCGACTCGCCCGACTCGCTCGACAACGTTCAGGAGAAATGGATTTCGGAAGTTCTTCACTTCTGCCAAAACTTGCCCACCATCCTTGTTGGCTGCAAGAAGGATCTTCGACACGACTCCAAGATTGTTGACGAGCTCCGCAAGACCAGCCAGCGCCCAGTCTCGGCTGAGGAGGGTATGGCTGTTGCCCAAAAGATTGGTGCCGTTCGATACCTTGAATGCTCTGCCAAGACCGGAGAGGGCGTTCGTGAGGTGTTTGAGCACGCCACCCGTGCAGCACTCGTTCAAAGAAGCCGTGGCTCCAAGAGGAAAGGTTGCACCCTTCTCTAAGCCTTGTTTCTTGCCATTCTCTTTCCAGCCTCGTTTGATAGCAGACACCAGACATCTATATCCCTTGTTTCCTCAAATTCTTGTGAATACTCTCCCGCCTTAGCAGCATAGGTGCGCAAAGGGTATTGCAAAGGCTCTCCGTTTTGCGACCTTAGTTTTCTCAAAGCAGCTTCCTCTCCCTTGGTGCACGCTGTGCTTCTCTTGCTGATATCAATGAAATTAGCTCGTGCAACCGTAGCCTGACAATGCGTGCATCCGCTTTTCAGTTTTGAGCTTGAGAATCCATCTTGAAGGCAGCATCACGCCTACTTTCTCCTTGTTCTCACAGCGCTCCATCGTCGATCTCTGAGGTATGCTGCTTCCTGGTTCAAGCTTCCACTTGTTCCTTTTGCCAAGTCGCTGTCCTGTACGCGAGGCTGACAACGAGCTGAGATTTGGCATGTCAAGCATCACTTGAACCGTCTCTGTGAACAAGGCCAGACAGACAGCCTTCCTTGACCTTGAATAGCTCATGAAGGGTTCTTGTTCACCACTCTCCCTTTCAGTCGCCACTAGCGCTCAGAGTTCAAAGGCGGGTGGCACAGTTGGACGAACGATCTCAAGGCAAAAGTACAAGAGCGGAACAGATTACAAATGAACAAACCAATCTTCGGGAGCAAGCATGTCTATTTGATCGAAAGGTGCGAGAATGCCGTTGTGAAACCGGGACGGCTGCACAATTCTTTCTGTGCCGGTAAATAATCTCATTATATTACCTTTATCAAATATTCTCTGGACAAGTGAGCCAGCTTAGCTCAGTGGCAGAGCGTTTGTCTTGTACCTGGGCACTGCAATAGTGTCACACAAGGACCATGTGGAACAAAAGGTCACTCGTTCAAACCGGGTAGTTGGCATTCCTTTTTCCTTTTCTTTTTTTCTTTTTTGCTTTTTGAGATGGTGTTGGGGCCTTGTGTTGTGTAGAAAGGCTCCGTCCGTATCAGGACTTTTGTGCGACCCATAACGTCGTACAGAGCTGTGAGTTTCTCCTCCACTTTTTCCATTGCCTTCTGGCTGAGACGAGTCGGGAGAAGGGGAATGTTGAGATTTCTGTAATCTCGAAAGGGGCTCAACAGTTTTGTTTGACGCCGAGATCTTGCTTGGCTCCGACTCACCTCCTCCTTGTTCATCTCAAGCTAACTTGACTACGGACCCGCGCCCTTTGCTTCACCTTTCAGGCGACTCACGCAAGGAGCGACATGTCGGACTCGAGCTCCTCCTCGTCATGGCTCTCGACGCTTTCAACACCCAACGGCAGGAACGCCCTGATTCTAGGATCTGTAGCCGTTGGCTCATCAATCGCAACAGCTGCCGCAATCTTCGCTACTCAACGGATCACACGCAAGAAGAAACGTCAAGACCTCTCAGATGCGATTGCCAAGACGGCCAACACACAAGGAGCTGACCGACTCCAGCGCTTCGATTTACACCATGATGAAGCAACCTCTTCCACGGACGGGGGCACACCACGCTACCTTTCCGGTATTCCGAGCAATTCTCTACGCCCTACATCCCATCTCCGCAATTCGACTAGCTTCTCACTGCCACAATCGCCTCTTGGGCCATCACGGGCGGATACAATAGCACGCAACGACACCTTCTCACGCAAACGTCAGCCATCGGTGGAGCAATGGGATGAGAGTCTCATTCGCGAACAGCTCTCACGCAACTACAGCTTCTTGGGCGAGGATGGGATGAAGGCTATTCGAAACTCATTCGTCATCGTTGTGGGCGCAGGTGGTGTTGGATCTTGGGCAGCACTCATGCTTCTGAGGTCAGGTATATCCAAGCTTCGACTCATCGACTTCGACCAAGTCTCGCTATCATCACTCAACCGCCATGCATGCGCTACTCTCCAGGACGTAGGTCGACCAAAGGTAGTGTGCTGCGCCGAAATGTTCGCTCAAATTGCTCCTTGGGCCAAGCTCGAAGCCTGGGTCGAGCTCTTCCGCGCGGACGAGGCAGAGCGTCTTCTCGGCGGCAACCCAACCTACGTGGTTGATGCTATCGACAACATCGATACAAAGGTCGACCTTTTGCGCTTCTGCGCCGAACGAAAGATCAAGGTCATTAGCTCGATGGGTGCTGGTGCAAAGAGCGACCCAAGTCGTATTCAGATCTCTGATATCAGCGTCACTTCAGAGGATCCGCTGGCACGTAGCGTTCGTCGCCGTTTGAGAGCGCTTGGCCTGCCGCCCATCCCGCCAAAGGAGGTGGAGGAGAAGGCTAAGCGTCAAGCTGACCAGCTCGAAAAGGCTCAGATGCAGACGCCCCCTCGTCCTCCGAACAACCAGCAGAAAGGGAACAAGGCGGGCAAGAAGGATCAACTCGACCTAGCACCAGCCAAGGCCGATTTGGATCGCACCCCTATGAAGGCCAGCCCCAGCAAAGCCGCCAGTAGTAGCAGCAGTAGCGGTGCGTCCTCACCCAAGCTTCCATCCAGCGCACTCAATAACGGCAATGGTCTGCAGTCTGGATCTCTGCAACCTCGTCACAACCGTCACATGACGTCCTCACCTTCCCCGCTAGCATCTCGAAGTGGTTGTGCCACTGATCTCACCTCTCTCAACGTCTCCACCTCAAGCAGTGCGGCCAGCTCGCGTGCAGTATCGAGCGCACTTCCTCAAGCTCCTCGTCATGGTAGACGAGCGAGCAGCGTCTCGTCATTTGGTTCCGGTGCGTACGCGACACCGATGACAACTCCATCCGACGAAATGGCTGCTCTGTTGCCAGATGATGACAGCCAGGATTCCAGTCTCAGACCACTGGACGAAGATGATCAAGATGCGGACGACGATAGCAAGGAGGGAGCCTTGACCTCTGTACCGCTGGACCGACGTGCATCTCAAAGCAGTGCCGCTGCCTCAGACGCTACAGCAGTCGACCTTGCAGCACACTCTGCACCTCGCTCGCAGATGACCGACACACTTGGACGACGTGCCTCTGAAGTAGAAGAGCTCTCACCTTTGCCGTCCAACTCTTGCCCGGCTCTTTCTCGCTCTGCTTCGTTCAAGCGCTCGCTTGCCTCTACACCAGCAGAGCCTGCAAAGGCCGAGTTTACAGAACCAACGCTGTTCATTCCTTGCGTCTACTCGACTGAGAAATCGGATACGCGTCTCCTGCCACTCGATCAAGAAGAGTTGCAAAGGGGCAATGTTGACGAGCTTGCTGCGCTCGAAGATTTCCGCGTTCGTATCCTTCCTGTCCTCGGTCCTCTGCCCGCCATGTTCGGTCTGGCGATAGCTACATTCATCCTCAACGAGATCGGTGGTCAGAAGATGGAGCCACTCGCTTTCAAAGGTCGTCGCAAGCTTTATGAGAAACTCTTCCACGATTTGTCAGTTTCGCAATCACGTCATCCTCTGCCGGGAACAAAGCCAGTTGAGGAACAAGGCAACGCAGGACCTCGACACTACATTCCGTTCAGCGTCAATGATATTGCTTACTTGTTCGAAGAAGTCTTCCGTGGTAGAAGTATCGTTCCTCCATTTGACAGCTTGTCCGGTGCTCAGTTGGAGAGGTGGGATTCGACTTTGCCATTGAGCTTCCAGAATGTTGCGTTGTTCTCCAGGGCACAGGCCAAGGTGCATGAAGCAGAAGTCTTGAAGAAAGGTAGAAGCCCGTTTGAGGTTTGGGGTCCCGACGCTGCCAACATGATGAAGAGAAGGATGGCGAGCGAACGTCGAAGTGGCTTCTTTCGCTTCTGAACCAAACGCGCTGTCATCGGTTTTTGTACACTGCAGACAAACATGAAGTCGACAAAGGAAACAAATGCGAGTAAATCGAGCCAATGGTGTAGAATTACAAAGACATGTTTGTAAGAACAGAGCTCTTGGCCAAGATGAGAGCGAAGAACTGCTCGAGATGAGCTACATGTCGGTGATGCAACCGTGAGAAGCATCGGCGACATTGCGGACGAATTTGAGCAAGTGGCCAGACTTTGGCTTAAGAGCAAGAGGCTTCCATGCAGCACGACGCATTTCGAGGTCAACATCTGAAACCCCGACAAGCTCAAGAGTATTTGTCTCTGCATCTATAGCGATGATATCACCATCCTGGACCAAACCAATTGGACCACCAACCTGTGCTTCTGGAACAACATGACCGATGACAAAACCGTGACTTCCTCCCGAAAAACGACCATCAGTCAAGCAAGCAACATCCTGACCCAACCCAGCTCCCATAATCAAACTGGTAGGCTTGAGCATCTCTGGCATACCAGGACCACCTTTGGGACCCTTGTATCGGAGAACAATGACCGTCTTCTCACCCTTCTTGATCTCGCCTTGTTCGACAGCAGCAACCATAGCATCTTCTGTGTCAAAGACACGAGCTTTGCCGGTGAATCGAAGACCTTCCTTGCCAGTGATTTTAGCGACTGCTCCACCGGGAGCGAGGTTACCCTTAAGAATGCGAATATGACCAGTGCTCTTGAGAGGCTTGCTGAGGGGACGAAGGACTTGCTGACCAGCAGGAAGCTTGCCGCGCTCCTGAGTCCATCGGTCGACGTTCTCAGCAAGAGTGCGACCGGTAACAGTGATATGCTCACCCTTAATGAGTTTATTCTCGATACAGTATTGGATGACGGTGGGGATACCGCCGAGCTTGGAGTGAACATCTTCCATCACGTACTTGCCCGAAGGCTTGAGGTCGGCAAGGAAGGGAGTCATGTCGGCGATACGCTGGAATTCATCGATGCTGAGCTCGATGCCGACCGAATGAGCGATGGCGATAAGGTGAAGAACGGCGTTGGTGGAGCCACCAAGGACCATGGTGAGGGCGATAGCGTCCTCGAAAGCGGAACGAGTCATGATGTCACGGGGCTTGATGTCCCTCTCGAGGATGAGGCGCATCGCAGCACCCATGTTTTCGGCTTCGGCCATCTTTTCAGGGTATTCAGCAGGGAAGGAGGAGCTGCCTGGGAGGGTCATACCCAGGGCTTCGGCGCACGATGCCATGGTGTTGGCAGTGTACATACCACCGCAGGCACCAGGACCGGGGCAGGCGTTGCGGACAGTGTCGTATCGAATCTTGTCTGCCTCAGGCGTACCACCATTGGCGAGGTACTGGCCGTAGGACTGGAAAGCAGAAACAATGTCGAGAGTGCCTTGAACGCTAGCACATGCACCAGGTCGAATCGTACCACCGTAGAGCATGATACCGGGACGGTTGAGACGTCCGAGAGCCATCAATACACCAGGCATGTTCTTGTCACAACCAGGAATAACGACGGCACCGTCGAGCCAGTGACCACCGCAAGCAGACTCGACCGAATCGGCAATCAAGTCACGCGAGGGAAGAGAGTAGGACATGGCATCAGTACCCATCGAAATACCATCCGAAACGCCGACAGCACCGAACTGGTAGCCAGTGAGCCCAGCCTGCTGAACGGACTTCTTAACACGCTGCGAGATGGAGAGGAGATGGGCGTTACATGGGTTACCCTCGTACCAGATGGATCCGATACCGACCATAGCACGGGCGAGATCCTCGTCGTCCTCGATACCATCAGTGGCGTAAAGCATGGCCTGGGAAGCACCCTGATCCTTGGGCCTAGTGATGATGCGAGAGTACTTGTTCAGGGCACCAGCAGCTGCGCGTTGAGCGTCGAGGGTGGTCGAGGTGGACAGTGCACGACGTAGGAGCGAGCCCGCATAGGGTCTGAGGGCGGAACGCAGCATTGTGATGGCGAAGCTGATGTTGAGCGATGCCGAGGTGGTGGCAATGATGGGAGAGGTGTGAACAAAGGTGGACAAGTGGTTCTTGTGTCAGGTTCTTCCAATGAACGACTTCCGAGTCACTTTTCATCAGCCTCCAAGCGCGGTTTTTTTATCGGCCTTATCATCCTCTCGCTGTT